AAAACTGTAAAGATGCTTTGAAAATTTTATAGATCTAATTAATGTGGGCATTTATTAAAAATTTTAATAGTTTTAGAGGAAAAAAAGATTGAAATGAAAGTGAATAATTTGAGCACCTTTAATATATTAAACCTAAAGTTCAAGTGTTTAAAGAATTAGTAGTAGATGAATTGCTTATCTCAAATTAATGACTAAAATTATAATAATGTTACATCTTTGTTAAATTTTAATTTTTTTATTCAATTTATCTATACAGCTTTTCAATTAGATTTNAGTAGTTTCTAAACTCTTTGCATGTGCTTGAGTTTATTCTGTGGAAAAATGTTCACAGTTAATTAAAATTTATGAATTTTCTATTTTTGAATTTTAATAATCAATTCAAACTTCAAATATCAAACACTCTACATGCAATCCCAGCAACTTAAGTCTAATCTCTTTAGATTTCGAAAGAATTTTATTAATTTTAACTCTTTATAGAACTAGAAGAATAAATGGGATAAGAATAAGCTTAAGCTGAAATCATTAAAATTTATATGTCTAACTTACCTTAATTAATACTTATGGAAATTCCTTTACTATAAGTTTTAATTTAAATAAATAATCGAATATGTGGTCACATTCGATTTTATATAAGTTGAGTTTATATATAAGCCAAAAGAAAGATGAATATTTCAATGTTATAGAAAAGAGTGAAAATTCTACTTTTAAGTATTCGAAATTAGAATGAAAATATTCTTTGATGATACTAAGTGATTGTTGCAATAGTGGCATTCATTAATTGGATAAATTATCGAATTTTAATGTAAAATTAAAAAAGAAATTGCTGGTTATGTTTTCCAATGAAGAAAAAATTAAAAATAAATTCATAATATGAAGTTTCGAACTTATATTTAATTTGGTTCAAAGATGCAAACTAGTGATCATGGCTTGAAACAAGGGAAATCTGAGAATGTGGTCAAGCTCAGTCTCTCTTATAGCCACTATATGAAATCTCTAATTTTCTAAAAGTTTTATTGAGAATTCATTATGTAACGGTGAAATCATTTAACTTTTGTCACATTTTCTATAGTATTTTCTTCAATTTCGAAGAAAAATAAAATATTAGATTATCAAAAAGTTAAGTGATATCAATTATAATCTATTCATCAAACTTGAGATTGAATAATACAAATTATTATAATTTAAATTTGACTCCTCTCTTAATTTTGTTAAGATATAAGTTTAGTATTTTTAATAGAGAATAAAATAATAAATTTGTTATCCACTATATATTTAAGTATAATAGTTTTTATTCTACATTATACAAATCTTTGGTACAGAAAATGATAATTTAATTTTCTTAGTAACCATTAATAATAACAAATCTTTCATTTTGAAAATGCCATCATGTATTATTTTCCTTAACTCAAACATACCTGATAAATGAAAATTATATAGATTTGATAAAAAAAATTTTCTAATATATTTTATTCTCTAATACTTATCCTAATACTACCTTCGCTAATATCATCTTTAAAGGAATTAGTGTTTATTAAACTTTAAAACATTTAAGCTTATTTTTAAAATTATTTTTGAAATTTTATCAACTTAATAAATTTTGATATTTTAGCATTTCTACTAAAAAAATCTATAATTATAATTACCTTATTTTAGGTTTTATATAAGCACTTAATCTAATTAAAAGAATCAATTACTTAAGCGAAAAAACTGTAAAGATGCTTTGAAAATTTTATAGATCTAATTAATGTGGGCATTTATTAAAAATTTTAATAGTTTTAGAGGAAAAAAAGATTGAAATGAAAGTGAATAATTTGAGCACCTTTAATATATTAAACCTAAAGTTCAAGTGTTTAAAGAATTAGTAGTAGATGAATTGCTTATCTCAAATTAATGACTAAAATTATAATAATGTTACATCTTTGTTAAATTTTAATTTTTTTATTCAATTTATCTATACAGCTTTTCAATTAGATTTTTGCGTTTCAATAATAAAAAAGGAAGAGTGTTTTCTCATATCAAACTAATTAATTTAAAAATTCAATTTCATATCAGATAAATGCTGTTAAATTCATTTTTTTTCAAAAAGAGAACAGAAAATTATATTATGAATTTTATAAAATTATACATCATCAATGAAAGAAAGATTTAAAATTTCTTTTAATTACTTTAAATTGAGTATTTTTAATTAAAAATATCTTAAATTTAAAAAATTGAGAAAATACAATAAAATATCAAATTTCTTTCCATTTCATCTATTTAAAACAATCCATCTTAATTTGATCTATATCATCATGCTCCATTTCTTTTGAAAATCAAGGAGTATTATCTTTGAGTAAATTAACAAACACAAATAAACTCAAACTTCCTTCTATATTTGACAATTTTTTCATCTCAAAGCTAATTAGCCCAACATTTTGGTATACTCACTATAATTAGGTTACTCCTCATAAAAATTAAGTCAAAATTTAAATAGCAATTTGTTAATCAGATCTTTCATACAAGTGATATAATTAAAATATTTTTTAAAAAGCAAGTTTGAATTTATTTATTCAAATAATTTATTATTTAACATTAAGAAATAGAAATCACATCTTTTCTATTTTATTTTCATTTAGAGAATAAATGATTTTTATTAATATTCTTCATTATAAGAAGCTAGAATAGATTTTTGATGTGCTAGAGTTTCTAAAAATTTATTGATCATTTTTTTAAATAATACACTTTTATATGCATGAATAATAGGTTATTATTGGCTGCATTAAAATTTCATCACAGATTGAATTAAAAAATTTAATAAGGTACTCTAACAATCAATATCCAATTTTCAATTGCAAATACAATTAAAGATGAAGTGCTTAATTTTATTAAAAATTAAATTTAAATAAATTGGATATTTTAATATTTGTAGATTCTCTATAAAATGAATCTTCAAATATTTTTTATAAAGCAATGATATTTGAAAATAATCTTATTGAGTTTTCTCATGATTTAGAATTACTTATTAACGATATGGAAATGTAATCTAAACAGTTAATCATTAATTAGATTTTAAATTGTTACTTAATTCTTAAACTCTATCAAATAATTGAATATAAAGAATGTCTTTTTTTCAGATCATCTAATGNTAAGTGATATCAATTATAATCTATTCATCAAACTTGAGATTGAATAATACAAATTATTATAATTTAAATTTGACTCCTCTCTTAATTTTGTTAAGATATAAGTTTAGTATTTTTAATAGAGAATAAAATAATAAATTTGTTATCCACTATATATTTAAGTATAATAGTTTTTATTCTACATTATACAAATCTTTGGTACAGAAAATGATAATTTAATTTTCTTAGTAACCATTAATAATAACAAATCTTTCATTTTGAAAATGCCATCATGTATTATTTTCCTTAACTCAAACATACCTGATAAATGAAAATTATATAGATTTGATAAAAAAAATTTTCTAATATATTTTATTCTCTAATACTTATCCTAATACTACCTTCGCTAATATCATCTTTAAAGGAATTAGTGTTTATTAAACTTTAAAACATTTAAGCTTATTTTTAAAATTATTTTTGAAATTTTATCAACTTAATAAATTTTGATATTTTAGCATTTCTACTAAAAAAATCTATAATTATAATTACCTTATTTTAGGTTTTATATAAGCACTTAATCTAATTAAAAGAATCAATTACACTGAATATCAATAGGAAAATGAAAATATCTTAATTAACTCTACTTAAGCGAAAAAACTGTAAAGATGCTTTGAAAATTTTATAGATCTAATTAATGTGGGCATTTATTAAAAATTTTAATAGTTTTAGAGGAAAAAAAGATTGAAATGAAAGTGAATAATTTGAGCACCTTTAATATATTAAACCTAAAGTTCAAGTGTTTAAAGAATTAGTAGTAGATGAATTGCTTATCTCAAATTAATGAATAAAATTATAATAATGTTACATCTTTGTTAAATTTTAATTTTTTTATTCAATTTATCTATACAGCTTTTCAATTAGATTTTTGCGTTTCAATAATAAAAAAGGAAGAGTGTTTTCTCATATCAAACTAATTAATTTAAAAATTCAATTTCATATCAGATAAATGCTGTTAAATTCATTTTTTTTCAAAAAGAGAACAGAAAATTATATTATGAATTTTATAAAATTATACATCATCAATGAAAGAAAGATTTAAAATTTCTTTTAATTACTTTAAATTGAGTATTTTTAATTAAAAATATCTTAAATTTAAAAAATTGAGAAAATACAATAAAATATCAAATTTCTTTCCATTTCATCTATTTAAAACAATCCATCTTAATTTGATCTATATCATCATGCTCCATTTCTTTTGAAAATCAAGGAGTATTATCTTTGAGTAAATTAACAAACACAAATAAACTCAAACTTCCTTCTATATTTGACAATTTTTTCATCTCAAAGCTAATTAGCCCAACATTTTGGTATACTCACTATAATTAGGTTACTCCTCATAAAAATTAAGTCAAAATTTAAATAGCAATTTGTTAATCAGATCTTTCATACAAGTGATATAATTAAAATATTTTTTAAAAAGCAAGTTTGAATTTATTTATTCAAATAATTTATTATTTAACATTAAGAAATAGAAATCACATCTTTTCTATTTTATTTTCATTTAGAGAATAAATGATTTTTATTAATATTCTTCATTATAAGAAGCTAGAATAGATTTTTGATGTGCTAGAGTTTCTAAAAATTTATTGATCATTTTTTTAAATAATACACTTTTATATGCATGAATAATAGGTTATTATTGGCTGCATTAAAATTTCATCACAGATTGAATTAAAAAATTTAATAAGGTACTCTAACAATCAATATCCAATTTTCAATTGCAAATACAATTAAAGATGAAGTGCTTAATTTTATTAAAAATTAAATTTAAATAAATTGGATATTTTAATATTTGTAGATTCTCTATAAAATGAATCTTCAAATATTTTTTATAAAGCAATGATATTTGAAAATAATCTTATTGAGTTTTCTCATGATTTAGAATTACTTATTAACGATATGGAAATGTAATCTAAACAGTTAATCATTAATTAGATTTTAAATTGTTACTTAATTCTTAAACTCTATCAAATAATTGAATATAAAGAATGTCTTTTTTTCAGATCATCTAATGATACCAACTCATAAAATTATTTAAGGATATTAATTATTAGCCTCATAGCATTCAATATTTTTCATATATAACCAAGTTTGGTCATTATACTGAAGAATAGTCTAAACCAATAACTTCCAAATACCAGCTGCATTTTTATAAGTAAAATTATTAAAGAAGAAAGCTATGACTTAGTAGGAAAGCAAGCTGAGCAAACAATTTTGCAATTTGATCAAAAAGAAGATGATTACTAAATATAAAAAAATATGTTTATGCATTAGATATAGAAATCTTATCAAAAAGGCTTTGGATTGGTAGTGAAGGGAATAATTTCATAAGAAAAGATATTATTTTGTCTAAGAAATACTATGATTCAGGTTCTCACCCCTTTATTCTTGATCCCTATAATTCAAAAAAATAACTTTTTTATATTGAGATTAACAGTGAATCATCTGAAAAATGGAGAAGTGTTCAATATTTGATTAAATAAAATTTTGAAATATTACTGAAAATAATATTGAACTATTAGAAGGATTTTGGAGATCTAATTATTTACTGAATGAAATAGATGAATAATTTAAAAATTTTTAATTTTTTAAAGGTGGTTTGGGATAAGGAATTTCAATATATTAATTAGGACATGTTAATGGGATTCATAATGTATATCTAGTTTTTGTTTTTAGAATTTGTAAAATAAATTTAACATTTAGGTCTTTGATATCGATTATCATAACTTTAAGAACCATTGAATAGCAAATTAATTATTTAAATGTTTAAAACTATCATAAAGATCTAGTAAAATTATTTCTAACTTAGAATAATTTAAAAAAATAATTATTAAAAGAGCATGAAAATTTTTAATAAAAAATGTTTTTAAATTATATTGGATTTTTTCTGGTATTTTTATATTTAATATACATTTATCTTCTTCAATTGGTTATGTTGATCCTGAAAGGTAATAATTGCAAAAAAAAGATTTGATTGAGCAATTTTAATTTGGAAATTATTTCTAATACCTTACTATACTTTAAATATCTAATATCGGTGGATTGGTTAAAATTTAATTTATTGAAATTATATAGGCATTTTTCAATTCTATTTAAAAGAAATGTTTCAAGGTAAAGTTACATATATGTGATTTTACTCTCTTTGTTGGATCTAAAGAGAAATTTATTTTAATATTTTCTTTTGTTATCCAGGAAGATTTAGTTTGATAATTCCTCTTTACTTTTTTATATTAAAAAAAGACTAACATGACAACATGAATATAAGAAAAAATTTTGTTATTTAATTAATTAATTTAAAGTAACAGCTATTTTGGGAAGAGATAAATTAATTAAGAAAAAAAATAGAATTCTAATATTAAAATATTTTGAAAATTTTATTTTGCTAAAAGCATAATAATTAGGATTATATATATTCTCTAAAGCAAGGATTTATTTTCAACATAAATTTGTTGTTCTATATCATTTTTCCTTGCTATTGTTCTCCTTTGTATTAGACTTTTTTATTCATATATCAAAAGTATTTTAGAAGTTTATTTTAAGAGGCACTTTATCTAAATTTTCAATTATTTATACATAATTTTGAATAAGATTTCATCAAATTTAATTTTTCCAAGAAAATTATTAAATTATTCTAAAGAAATACGAGATTAAAAAATTGATTAATAAACTTAAAAAACATCTATTATAGGTTTCTAAATCCTAGCCTCAAAATCACAGAAAATTTTTCAGCCAAAAAACTAAAGGAACTAAATCCTTGGTGTCTAAGAATACAAAATGGTTTAGATATTTTCCTTTTATTATGATAAAGAAAATTTTTTTAATGTTCTCAATTGACTGTACTTTTAAAGTAAGATACTGTAAGATTTTTTTTTTGATATGAATCTATTAAATCCTCTTTTTTTTCTAAGCAGAATTTAGATATAATATATTTATAGGTATTATTTTAATAAACTATCTATTAATAAACTATTCAATTATTACTATGAGAATAAGTTTAAAATAATTAATTTATTATTGCCTATCCTTTTTTGACATATTTTATTTTTATTTTTCTATTTTATTATCTTCATTTAGTTTTATACTAAACTCTATATTGATTGAATATTTAAAATGAATTTAAATCAAAACCTTCAATAATACAAAATAGGATAATTATATTTAAAGATAAACATGCAAGCTTAAATAGGGTAGTAGATAAAAAATACATCTAATATGTATACATAAAAAATCACCTTTTTGATTTTGAGTAATAGATGATATAGTTTATCCATTTTAGCTTAGATTAGAAAAATTTATTGAGTATTAAAGAAAATGATAGAAATAATGTAATCGGAACTTGAAATTATACAGTTTAAGATTAAAGTTTATAAAATGTATATAACCAAAGGTTAATTACAGTTAAGTAATAAATAAAGATAAAGAGGTTTATATTCTATAATAATCAAAGCATTTTATTTTTCATTGGGTTATAACTTAGATAAAAAAGCATATTTAAGGGATTAATAAATACAAAAGTATTTTTAAAGAGCTTAAAATTTTAACCATTCAAAATCCATACAAATAAATTTCG